CCAGAGGAATACAAGAAACTTGCCGAGCGGTGTTGTGATGCTGATCCTGATAAGCGTCCAGATGCAGAGACACTTCGGGATGATACTTGTAAGCTTATTGATGATATTGACATGTATGACAACACGTGGAATACCATCTATCATAATGATGTAAAACCCTTATCACGTCTTGAGAAGGAGAATAAATATTCTAGTACGCTCTTACCTACTGGAGATTTGCCTAAACCAAGAAGCATTTGCGATTCTGCTGCAGGTAACAGTTTACATGTTGACATTGAAATAACATCATTTTGCAATACTAACATCGTCGTCTATTATCTTATCACTTAGTGACTCAAAATTTTTGAATAAGTCGAATTAACAAAGTTTCGATGTAAAATAGAATTGGTCCTGATTTCATGGTAGTAATTCTGTACTAGCGAGCTTAAACATAAATTATCAATAAAAGCATGATGTTGCAATGGGAAATATATTGTTTAAAGACTTTTTGGAAAAAAAATCTGTCCGACTTACCCAATACGATAAACAATGAGTAACGATAATTCAATTTTTTCGTCAAGGTTAGGGTTAGGCAAACTTTTCGTCGTCAAATTAGCCTGCATTGTCCCAACCCCCATTTTATGTAGACATTTCCCTACTTTTAATTATTTCCGCACGAAATATTTCTAAAATCATTAACCCAAACCTACTCTTGTACCAATGATAAAGTGGTGACAAGATTATTATATATATGATGCAGTAGGCATGTTATAAGTCATGTTGGCATGAACATATTTTGATTATCACGTTGAAAGATCAGAATCGTGGTCGTGCAAAAAAAAAAAAAACAGCAAAGGGAATTACTTAAATTTTTGTATCCTTTCTGAAATAACTATTTCCGGTTTTTGATCATACCATACATATAGAAGAAATATTCATCAATATTACGCCTTAAATTTGATATTTAGTTTTAATCTCATAAATCTCAATATCACACTTAATATTCAACATCAGTATCTCTCCTACCCTTCTCTAATTCCTTGATTCTGTCTCAAGCTCGGATGTTATAATAATATTATTTTGTACAAGATGGAAATAATTCAATGTTATGTGACAACTGTAAAGACTCACTTTATTAATTACAGATTAAAAAAAATACAATTTACAAGACTGTTTTCATGTGTTATCCATTGTAATAGGATTTTTCTTTATAGAAAAAATCAATACACTAATTTTTTTAAATCTGACGTCTACTGAACAAGCTTGTAGAGGTCTGCCAAGCGGTGTTTACCCGAGCTGTGAGCATTGTTAAGGTAGTGGCGAAGCGCACATCAAAGATAGCCATATATAATTTGTAATAGTGCTTTAGTGTCAAGGCCAAAGTCCTCAATTCGGCCAACATGGTGGGAACAGTGTTTCAAACCGTCCATAAGCTTATGGTTATCAAGACATCTTTTCATTTGATTTGGAATGCCTACACAAAAGACGCCAGATCTAAGAGATGTGCAAGACTGGTGTTGGCCATAGTGTGGCAAGATTATAATTGTTCACTTGAACTTTCATGACATTTAGGGGCTTTACCTGGTCCTCTGATGGTACAGGTGTTGAGTTGTCGTCGACAAACCAAAAAACAGTCGTGTGGTGAAGCAACTAGTGTCATGTGTTTTCGAGTTGTACTAATTGGATGAAAATCATGCACCAGCAGAATTCATAATTACGGAAGACATCGTTAAGAATTTAAATCACCGTAACACGCGAATACAGTAACTTTAGGGGATATAAACGACATAACTGTCAAAAAAAGGAGCATTTGTTCTTAAGGCCGTTTGTTTCTATAAAATCCTGGGATATAGCCGTGCAGGGGTATGACTGTACCACAACATTGGTAGTTCCAGATCTTTATATAAAATGTCAAGCTCATGGAGATATCGTAGTCCGCCAATGATATTGATGCCAAGCTTGCATCTCGCAGATGGGTCTGACAAATAAGATCTTAATGAACCGCCATCAACATATTCGAGAATCTTTTGATTAAAGTAACAGAATAGTTGTTAATATCAGACTCATAGTTATCCCCTAGACTCAGCCACTCAATGCTTACCCTTGCTCACTCCGAGGAATCGAATAATATTAGGGCAGTCATCGACATTACGATAAATCTTAAGCTAAAAGTATAGTTGTATAATTTAAGGAAACAATAACATCCAAATATAAAACCATAATTGTAAATACAACCTCTGTTGACAAAGTTTTCGATCATTTCATCTTCATTTTGTGTATACAAAAGCTTGTATGCAACCGCTCTATCAACTCCTGTTTGATGTCTATGTACACGTGCCCAAATATAACTGCGAGTTGTACAAGCATCTCCACATAATACTGAGGTCAAATTAATTACTCCAGCACCGATGTACGTCACGTCAATAAAGTTATCGAAAGAGAAATTACCACTCCTATCATGTATCAGAATAATATCAATCGGACATTCGCCTCCGTAAGCCCCTTTTTTGTAGTACCATAAAAAGCTTCCGTACCACATAATTGTGGCGTTAATGACTATTTGTGGCACGGATTCTACTGTCACACTGTCACGCAAAAGTTGTGTAGTAGTAAGATAAACCAACACGAAAAAGATTTCATAGACTTTCTTAATGCGAGCAGTTCGCTGAAATCATGAGTACTAATGTCCACGAACAAAGCAGAATATGGCTAGAGAAAAGTATCAGCGAGCAGTATATCCGTTATTATGAAGACAAAGACCTAACAGATCGTGTTCTGATTGGGAGAGGAGGATATGCATTAGTCTACAAAGCAAGCATAAAACAGTGTGATATAGATGTTGCTATAAAGCAATTACTACCCTTGCCGAAGAAAGAGGAAATTTATTCAATATTTGTGAGAGAGGTTGGTGTTTACCAACATACTTGCAACCGTGTTTTTGACTACACAGTAAAATATTATCATATAAATGCTCATTAAAGTTCATGGTCTTTTCTCATTGTGTCAAATTCCCTTCAAGGTTAAAACTCACCGACAAGTGCATGACCATCCTAACATTATTCGGTTTCTCGGACTAGGCAATGGTAAATATCTGACAATAAGAGTAATGAATCGTGCTATAAATCAACACTTAAACCACGAATTTAGGCGAAAACGGAGTATTATATTCGATGGTCTTTGAGTATGCCGAATGCACCCTGCATGACCATCTATCTACACATTTTGAGGAGCTACGCTGGGCTGATAAATATAGACTCGGATTAGATGTTGCTAAGGGCCTGAACTACCTTCATGAGCGAGATATTTTACACAAAGATTTGGTATGATGACCGTTACTGTTGTATTAATTCTAAATTCTCTATTTTGCCATCATACACATTATCTAAATGTTGTCGTTGTATTGCTTATAGTCATCGCGGAACATCCTTATCCAAAACGGAGTTGCCAAGATTACCGATTTTGGTCTCGCTAAACTCATTGAAGAACAGACCGCCACTTCCGCTAGAGGAGGGACACCCGCGTATATGGATCCTATATGCATTGGAAACCTTGACTTTATTCGCGATAAAAAGTCTGATATATTTAGTCTTGGGGTCGTTTTATGGGAAATTTCTACAGGAATCCCGCCGTACGAAGACCAAACATTTATGCAAGTCGTGAGTTGGAGAGCTCTGAGTCATCGTGAACCTCCTGCCCCTAATACACCAAAAGAGTATTTGCAGCTTTATTCAGAATGTTGGCATAATGACCCAAACATAAGACCGACCTGTGACGTAGTGTGTAATCGCTTGAAAGAATTATTGAATCAAGTAAAAGAGGAAGATATTTATATATCTAGGTCAGACTCTGCTAGTTCACAGTCAACTCTAGTTTCTCAGAAAATGATTCCCGACAATAAGAAGATCCAGTCTATCGAACGGACGTCATCTGTTCACACGTCACAGTCAACTCTGATGTCTCGGGAAACGATTTCCGAAAAAAAGCAGATCCAGTTTATCAAGTGGACAAAACCTGCAGCGCACCAAACACTACCTCAACAAGTGATAACATTCTTAAGAAATGAATTGATACTCGGCAAACATGTTGACCACATTTCTGCGTCTCTTCTAATATGGATGAAAACGAACAAACACGAGATAAATGAAATAGTAAAGCTAATAGATAAGTACACGGTAAATTCTGCTAAAAAGGACTCGGACGAGCAGGATGCCAGTATTCGATGGCTACTTGGTTTCATCTATCAGTACGGCGTAGGAACCGATGAAGATGAAATAGATGCGTATGATTATTACAAGGAATCAGGCAACACATATAATTATTTAGGATTATATTCACTTGGCCGTTGTTACCAGACAGGTTATGGTGCTATAGAAAAGACCGAAATGGCCAAAAGGTTTTATATGAGGTCAGCCGCTCAAGGATTTACACCGGCAATATACAACCTGGTCGATATGTATGCGTCCGAAGGAGACGACGAGCGGGCGTTCATGCTATTAAAGCAGACAGCGGATCAGGGTGATTCAACTGCTCTATGCAAGCTCTCGAGTTGGTATTCTCGCGGAAGAGGGGTAGCGAAAAGTGAAGCCCAAGCAATAAATTGTCTTGAGAAAGCAGTTGATTTGGGCAACCCTATAGCGATGTGCGAATTTGGCGTGCGTCTTCTATATGGTCAAGGTGTTGCGTCAGACGAACGGAGGGCCATCAGTTTGTTTAGGTTGGCATCTGTTTTTGAGATTGATACCGCATATGAAAATCTGGGTAATTGTTATGAGAGAGGAATTGGCACAGACGTTGACTTGCGGGAAGCTATCGAGTATTACCAGCTCGCATTTAGGACGGCTCGAAATGACACTGATAAAATACGTTATTCGACTACTATTGCATCAGTTGAAAAGCGTTTATCGGCAACCATGTAACGATTATTTTCATACTCGGTAAATCCAATTATAAGTTTGTTGCGCTCCTTAAACCAAGTGGAATATTCTGTCGGAAGTGAGTATATTCTGGCAAATGTACTCACAGAAGCTGGTAATCGCCAATCGATTTGTGAAGGTTGATTATATATTATATATTATTATTATTATTGGTGTTATGGTGTTGTCGTTTGTTGTTATAATGTGAGGCTTACTATGTATATGTGCTGCAGTTTTGGCAGCTTTGTAATATTATTGTATACAAACTGTTTCATCCGCTCCATAGTTTGTGCAGTTTGGGACGGGAGAAATGGGGCTATTTGTATTTATTGGTAAATAAAGGTCATAAAAACATTTATAATTTCTAAGCAATTGTATGTAGAGTTCTGATTGCACTTTCACTCTGAAGAAACGTTTATTGTCTAATGCATGTCTGGCTGATTATTTCTCATCTCTAACCAAAAAAGATTAGTCTTGCTTGACAATCGGTGACATTGCGTCGGGCAGAATTTTGATCGGCAGTCATAAAAAAGGTCATCAAAGTTGGCGCTATATTACTATACATGTTATTGTAAAAGGAGTCAACATAATTGGCTATTTTGCGCCGATCACTTTCGATAGTGAAAATACAAACTTCAAATCTTCATAGTTTTTGAACGAAACAGCTATGCTCATAATGACTGTACCAATACATACTTCAACGCCTGCTCTACAATAAAATAGAGAAATAACCCCAATAATAGTTTTACATATGCGAACCCATAATTTTGTCAAGGAAAACGAAAAAAGTGTCACTAGTTTCTTGTAAAGCAGCTTTTGGAGGGAGTAATGTATAAATACAGACTTTATGCGTATAGCTTGTTTCGTTCAAAAACCACGGAGATTTGAAGTTTGTATTTTTACTATCGAAAGTGATCGTCATATCATTACTCTATGTTTATGACACTACCGATATCTAACCCCAGCTTATTACATAATTTCTTCGGGCGTCCGATCTATTTTTGTCGAACGTTTGTTGTGTAGCAATTCCATATTTGTACCCTTTACTGTAATTCTTATCTCATTGCTGCTAACAATTAATATTTTGACTCAATAATCTATTACTGGAGGTACGTTATTATCAATCCACTACACAGGGTCAGAGTCGAAAGAAATATGAAACAAATTTTCGGGATCAAAAAGCTTGCCATCAATATTATATTGTTACATACTTACTAGTACAAATACATGACCGTGAAATAAATAAGATCTAATATTATATGCTAGATGAAGTGTAAATATTATGAGAATAAATGCTATGATATGATATGATATGATATGACATGATATGATATGATATGCTATGCTGATATACACCAACAGGACTCATTAAAAGAGACAAATTCCTAAGTCTATTATACTCAATAGTAAAATGTTCCTTTTCTCTAATATATACCAGGAATGACCGTTTCACAGCCCTCTGTGCTTTCGTTAGTAGGGCAATCTTTTTTATTATGGCAGCAACGAATACAGTAGTTTCCGTCGTTGGGCTCAACCAAATTTACAAAATATTCGTATCCAGAACAAGATGCATCCGGAGGAGAACCATTACTATCATACTGACCACCTTCGTCATCATGATGCAACTGATATGCATCTGGGTTCATCTTTCCAGTAATTTGGACGTAAGTACTAGGATCACCAGCAAAGTTGGCCGAGATAACGAATCCGTCGGGAATAACATTAACTACACCGGGTGTGCTGGCTGTGCAGAATGCGATACCAGTCAGTTCAGAGTCAGCGATGTATTCGCCAGGTGTTGGCGGAAGGAAAGTGCAAAATACGGTATTGCTTGACAGCGTGGCAGTTATGGTGGCGTTTGTGTCGGCATGGACGAAGACAATCGTCGTAAGGATTAAAATGATAAACGCAAATAATGTATTTGACGTGGCCATTTCGTACAATAGATAAAGTGGTTTGATGTGGACGGATGATTTTTTTCAACCGCAAGCTGTCCCTATATATATAGAGAAATGAGGAATAAATTTTGTGTGTATTGTTAATCGATCGGTTGATTGACTACTGTGTTTACCTCAGCTGATTGCCGGTGGGTCTTAGTACGATTGTGGTAAGCATGTGTGTTACACGTCTTTCAATGATGACCAGACACACGTGAGAATGCAAACAAACCCTTCAATATATGGTACACAAGTGTTACAGGTAAAAAGATAAATCTATAAATAGAATCGGCCAATAATCCTTATTTCATACTCGTACTCGAGCCAAATAGACAACACGTTATTTGCATAGGGCTCGCCTCCTTAACATATTTTAAAAACGCTTCCTTAACAAGACAGATATCTAAAAATAACCAAGATTTTTGGAATAGGGACGGAAAGATAATGAAGATCGAATGGCCTATTTTTATCATTGATTTATTTTTGTCTTTTAGATTTGAAGGACACAAGTTAAAGTGATTGAATACACATGACGAATCAGGGACACGCAAATTCATTCGCCTTAGTGAATTCCATACTAATACTCAGATTAGTTCAGAACTACCAAGACATATTATAACATACTAAACTTTCTAAAAATAAATTTTTATAATCAATGTTACCCCTTTTTATGTAATAATTTTAAAGTTGAGCGAGGAAAGCGGGTAGATTGGGTTTTTTTTAGAGAGGCACACATGAAGAATTCGAATGTACAAACGTTGTCTCCAATCAAATACAGCTACTTTTCGCACAAAGATGCTTGGTATCCGTCAGATTATAGGCTGAATATCAAATGATCCAACTTGACAAATTTAACATTGACATGCGTAATCCTATTAAAGAAAAAAATAATAACAGAAAAGGAAAAAAACTTTTTAAAAAGTTAACAAAAACGGTATTATGACGTAGCAAACAAAGTTACTAGCATTGATACACATGGTATTAGCATTACTCAATGTAAAAAAATAACATCCATGATTAATGCTCAACTCTAACGCAACGCATAAACAAGAAGGTTGCTAAATGCAAGTTCTGAAAATGTTAGTCGACCTCCCCGGTAACATTGTTTGTCTCTGGGTTGTAAAGTCCACTCGTGTGAATTAATGATTCACAAACGTTAATTGGTAGCCGAGCAGTTGAATAGATAACGAGACAGCGTACAAATTAAATTAGAGTCGAGAATTAGAGACAATTAACGAGATATCCTAACGTTGATAAGTCAAATTGGTTTGACCTATGCGTTCATTACATAGACACATTTACAACACACGAGCTTTACATTTTTACGTATTGTTCGGAAAAATGTTATTAATAATTCGACGTTGAATGAATATATGTTGCAAGGTTGTCGAAAAGGCCGTAATATTTGAACAATAATAATTTGTTACTGTTCTATTTATTGTATGCTTATTTTTTTTCTTCAATATTGATACACTCTCGCTGGTTATAACAACATAATATTTATTTCGTTGTAATAATACAGCTTTGATTATTTCAATAACAAGAATCATAAACAGGTACTTATTACTGTATACATTTTGACAAAGATATAAAGTTCGGTTCAGAGAGCTTAATAACGTAGAATTGTTAACCGAGCATTCTTTTTTTTTTTACTTGTTCGGTAAGTACAGGATAAGATTTATTCTTGACATTTTTTAATAAGTAAATAGTAAACCGCTCCATATTAGATATCATAATTAGAAATGCAAACATTGCTTACAAACTCGAATTACTCGATAGCTTAATTTGTTTATTTTTTGCCTAATACTTTACATACTAGCTTTACTAAACATCAAATGACAATAGTTGTTTCTGTTTTATCGTTCGAGAAGGCGGATAAAAAAGTGGGATTTAATTAATTAAGTTATAACAGCAATATGCAAATTTATTGCCTATCCTTAACAACGAATGAGATCTTTAGCAGCGTCGAGTTATAAAGAAACTTTTTTTAACTAAATTAATACCGTACATATTACCAATTGCACATCCAGAAACACATCGCTAATATTAAATCGCACCATTGTTAATTATGCTTGTGGTTTATTTATAAAAATAATATTAAATAAGATACACTTGGTCTTGTACAGTAATGATATGGTACAGAAATTAGTAATTACAATAGCTGCCAGCTAGCTATCTAATTTCAACTTTCTACAAATATCATTACACTCGTGATTCGCCAAAAAACACTCGTTTATTCCCTTTTCGCCTAAATTCGTCCTTCCAAATCTTAGTGAATCAACACAATGTATTGCGGGATCTGTTAGCAAGAACTGGTTCAAATTTTCAACTCCTTGAAGGTCATAAACCACTAAATATTTATCAGTATACGTGTATGTGAAATGAGCGAAAGCTTCGAGGACGGGACGAAATTCCGTGATTACTCCACTGTTTACGTTGAACCGTTTATACGCGCCATATTTAAGTCTCTCTTCAACGGCGTAATATCGAATCCTATCGTCAACTGAACTACGTAAAACGTTTACTTTTAAAAAGTTTACTTGCTTGTTCGTGATTTGACTTGCGGCTTCATTAAATTTTGTGGCAAGATAATATGCAACAATAGAGACCTCTGCTACTTCAAGGTACCTTTTAGCTCCTCCACCAAGTTTAAGATATTCTTTGATCACAATTTTCTTTGATGGTGGTGTCTTGCAATCGAGACCATAGTATGCATACTTTTCAGCACCGGAAGAAAATGGCTGTGGTGAAATCTTGTAAACAAAATTACGATAAAGAATGTTTGGTTTGTTGAAATATTTACGGTTCTTAAGATCGGCCAAGCTATTGGGAGGACGATACCACAAGACTATTCCATTTTGTGGTTTATAATTATACCAATTAGGCTCATCTGGATTCATTTCGAGTCTTTCACGTTGCATAGTGTATATGTCCCTGGCATCGCTGCCTATTGTACTAGTTAACGAAACAGAACTAGTTATGGCCGAAATGGCAGCTTTGTAAAATTTGTTAACCATAGCAGTAGCATCGCACTTTTCAAAATCAAACACCGGAAATTCACCAATTATTTTACGGAAAATTGCAACCATCCTGGACGTGTGATTCGTAATTTTTCCGAAAAAATAAAGAATGTTTTCTCGCTCCATGCGTTCTAGCACAGTTTCTGCCGTTAATCCATTTGGATCGCCATCAGGGTACGAATCGCCTAGGTTACTAAAACGGCGTCCATGTGGCGGACAGTCACCAATGTGAAGGATGATGCGTGTGCCATGTTGCCAGCTCATTGTCTTTATAGCTGCATCGAGACCACCAAAAACGTCTTCCGGTTCATCACCACCGCCCATTGCTGTCACTTTGGCTACATACGCTTTGAACGTTGCATATGAATCGGTAAAGTCGAAAACCATCAAGCGGTCAGATCCTTCAGAAAAGTCTCGGTAACCACAAAACCCGACCCAAATTTTAATGCCGCGGTTTACAGAAGCAACGTAATCTGTTACTTTTACGATACATTTTTTGACAGCAGCAATGTGTGATTCCATAGATGCAGTGCAGTCTAAAACGAAGCAAAGGTCGACTTCCATCGAGCGCTTGATACTCGAGAGTGTATTATGTATGGCGTCTTCTCGGACTAATCTAGCTAATTCAGCTTCGGTCTTGTCTGTGTTGGACTGAGTGTCTGGGTCCTGAACTGAGACAACCGATTTCTGGACTAGGTGACTGGGCTCTGAACCGAGACAGGTCCTAAACTCAGACACAACAACATCTGCATGTTTTGCTTCATCGACACAAGGCTCCAAGCGCTCTTTCGCAATGCTTAGCCCTTTAAGATCAGCTACAACTGACGGAGAGACTAACGTAGACAAGGAACTCATGGTAGATCCATCGGTATTCATATTGATGATCAATAATCGTTCTATTATCAAAAAAGAAAGCACCAACCTGGGTTGGCTTTAAAAAGAATTGATTGATCTCTCACGCACAGCCATACCAGTGTGTGGCGCTATACGATCCTTTGTTACTGGTTATTCCGAAAGAGCAGCGTATGCACGGTCAGCCAATCAATAATATAAACCTGCGGCCAAGAGGTCTTTGTTTAAACATAGCACTCTTTTCCTAATTATGTGGTCCCTTATGACTTGTTTTAAAATTTGTTGTTCGAATTTGCCAAATTATTCTTTCTAAAAAGAAAGGAAGAAAAGTAGAATGATTTTTCTGCTTGGTTTGATAGTATGAGATATTGACCGAACTCTTCTTTTGTCAAGACATATAAGGAAGTTACACAAACATAAATGAGGATTCGAAGACAATGAGAGGTACTAGCTATAGCGGGTTACCGCAGCTTGGCAATAAAGTCGTACAAATATCGAAATTGGTGTTCTCTTGCATATTTCTCTTGCTGTTTTAAGCGCAGAGAGATGAATTATTTTTGTAACGCAAATCGTGTTCCTATACTTGTGGTTAACGCCAAAGGCGTTCTTGCATACAACTAGTTACTTTTAATTGATGGGGTTATCGTTTTACTGTTACGTTTATTGTATACTCGATGAGTCATAATATCTTATTCATCCGTTCATGTCCATAATAACAATTGAATAAATTTACTGCGAGTATTTTGTCTGCTAACAAGAAACAGAAAACACTTAAAGTCTTTAATCTCGCAAAACGTTCTACGATCCTGAAATGTATTGGCCCCAGGAACAATCTGCATAAAAAATTTTTATTACGGTAACACATGAGTTTAGGTGAAATAAAGAATACTAATACATTTTCTGAGCAAGATCAAATACAAAACGCTTCACATTTATTCGCAAACAATTATTTCATTAACAGTTGCAATTAGGTTAAGTGCATTGTAATGAAAGTGCTCATACTGATATCTGTGGCTACCAAAAGATATATATACCTGTAAACTAACGACGGTTAATATTGATAAGAACAAATAGTTTATCTTCGATTGCCAATAAAAATGAGAGCGTGATCGTCTATCGTGCTATTGGATAAAAAAATTTTTTTTGCCCATTTCAGGATAATCGTAGAATGTGGTCATGGGATAAACGTAAATAATATACACAATCTTATCGATAACCACGTTTAAGTCTTTTAAGTCAATAATAATTACATTGTTATAGTAAAATATAGCTTGTCTTAGAGAATCACTTGCTTTTTTCTTATCTGACGTTGTAAGTCTTTTATTCCTGATTATTTACGCTTAAACCATTCAGATTGCTAAGGCTTTTGAATAAAGCAAGCTACACTGACTGTACCTACAACAAACCGTTGTTGACGCTTATTAATTGGGAGTATGTTTTTTAATACATTTGAAATAATTGCACGTGCAAACTCATGATTTTGTCAAAAAAAAAAAAAAAAACTACTACAAAAAAGTGGCACTATTTGTTTATAGTGCAGCGATTGAAATTTGGGTTTTTTTTTACTATTGAAAGTGACCGATAATTGTTCAACAAAAATGACTTAACAGATTTCATAATCCCAAGGGGTTACTGTTTAACTAATCCGTTCCCAAAGAGGGCAATGTGTTGTTTGTGTCAATTAAAAAACATTCTTGAAAGAAATTCTCAATGTTGATCAGGTCAAATGAATCGTGATCGTCTGAGCAACTTTATCCTGAATATTTATCCTAATTTCAGTAACAGAACGTCATCATTGTAGGAGTGTAAATTACATTATTTAACAATTTTGAATCTGAATCGTTATGATAGTGGTTTAGAAATTGCTCGTTCATTTTGCAGCAACAACAAAAACTCTAAAACATGTGAACATTACATTAGTTTAAAGTCAGTAGGCAAAAACGGCAGATGAGTATTTATGAATTACGTGAAACCAATAAAATGCTGACCCTCCATAAATGCATGCATTTATGGAGGGTTGACTGTATTATATATAATCTGAATATTACTATTTACAAATAAACTAGATTACACAAATAATTAACTATTCTAGCTAGCTGAGGGTAAGTAAGTGTCAATGGTTTACCCTGATTGCCATCCCACTCACAACATATCGTCTCCCGATACTAAGGGATAAATAGTTGTTTACGGATAATTAGACGCACCTATAAGTAAATGGATAGAGTTGTGAATTACAGCTAAATAATGTTTTTAGTTTATATATGCCGAGTCAAACAAATTTTTTAGCATCGCATAGAAGTATATCATAAAGCACATAACATTATAAGATAATTCTCAGTTCCCGTTGTTTGTGAATTTTGCAAGTTAATTGTTTTTTATCTAGGAATACTGAACAGTCTTAACATTTTTACTTAAAATCTACGGAGCAACTTTGCGACCTTGCCCTTTCCAGGATGTTTCTAATAGTGTTATAAATTTCGATTTCATAAAATAAATTACATATGTCGTGCATAAATTCCGTCATCGTATAAATCCCGTCAAAGTACCCCAAAATTGAGAAGGGTCCCTAAACATTTTTTTATTAATATCTCAATCAGCGGATAAACGCTATGAGTTATGTAATAAGACTACTGTAACAATAACAGCAGTAACCCTTGTGTTTTCCTACCAAGCATAAACTATGTTTACTTTCTTATTAATATTAATATTTTGTTCAGATTTAAAGCCGTTATCATATGAATTCCTACCCTGCTTTCTGATGTTACACGGAAATGCCAACCCTAATACCTTGTTAATATTATTATTGCTGTCTATAATTGTAGGTTTTACTCCGTCTAGGGAGTTAGGAAAGCGCACAAAACAAAATTAGTCACTTCTGAGTTAAATTTGGTAACACCCCTGTCGGTGAACATACCTACCTAATTTATTATTGGCTCTCCCACCCTAATAATACACCGACTGCAACAATATGCCGTGCAAGCTTCTGGGAAGCGTGTTATAGGAAGAGATCCTGTAGCTTGCTCAGAAAATGAAGATTTTGATCCAGAGAAAATATACAAATTGACATATAATTTAGCAGAAAGTGGTCCCACAGAAATAGCTAAATCCTCATATCTCAAATTACTTCGAAAAGGTTGATATTAATGGGGTTAAATATTAGAGATTACATGAAGAATAGGGCTTAGTTGAATATTCTGTATAATATCAATATATTATTTTGAACTGCGCAATCTGTGACGTATTCTCTCCTTATTTCTGCAAGCCGAGCTTTTTTTCAACATCTGTCTAATACACTAGCACAGCTGCGAATAGGTAGTACGGGCACTGTCGGAACAGAAAAGGGATAGTGGAAGGATGCTTCGGTTTATTCAAACGTATACCAATAGACTATCGATAAAATAGTAGAAGTAACTGCTAAAAATAGATCAATTAGACCGTCAAAAGATATATAAGCAGTAGGAGTTTCAGCTAGAGTCGGTGTGTTAATGTGTGTTATATTCCGTGTTTCGCTAGTGAATTAAGATCGATATATTCCTTATACTTCATATCTTATTGTTAATAAACGAGTATCACATTTACTCTGAACCTATATTTTTGACCCTATTCTCTAAATTAGTTGATATATCTGAGAAACCGTTATATCCGTATATCAACCAAGGACAATTGCCTCTTGTCCTGCAATTATCCGAGTGGCGAATTACGATATTTAATCGTTAGTTTTCGAACGCGTTCAATCTAAGTGATAAACCATTGTACCCCAAACGGGAGATTACCGGATTAATCCCTCGGTAATAACCGCCGATACACTCGAGGGCGATTAAACTAATCCAGGATAAACGTCATTCTACGGTGAAAAAGTCCGTAAATGGAAAGCTTTGCGATTACAAGGTCACTTTAGATATTTAACTTGAATAGGAGGCGCCACGCTCCGTCGAGACTAGTTAAATCCCAAGTGTCGATTACTTTCTGCTCTCCCGCAGTAGTCGGCATGACAACTGTTTGGCTTCAGTTTTAGGTTTAGAGAAAGCCTTGGCTGGGCTTAATATGCCAATCAACAAACTGAATGGAACTTTGGGAAGCAAACTCACTGTAAATTTATTCATATTATTGTTAAGGAGCATTGTTTAAATCACGTTACAAATAGATTGATGCCTATGATGAAACAAATCCTCATTCCTTTCATCGGCATTTGACCCTCTTAACATGTCTGCAATTGCTAGGATCCTTGATAGCATTAATTTGGCTTTGGACAATGGATACAATATGCTCTAGAACCTGCACTGCACCAGTGATACTATCTGCATCAATACTACATATAAACCTGGCAGAGATATGCAAGGTAGCATCATCTGAAGGTCCTGCCCATTCAAGAAATGCCCAATTTATCCCATTGGATACAATGCCATACATTAAAACTGGTACCTCCTCTTGCTCTGACTCAGAATGACTGTTGCTGCATTGGGAGGGTTTTCTCGACTTCATTTCTGCCATTGATCCTGACTCTGAAAGGACATCTGCTTTGCGTTTCCCTAATTTCTAAAACCTGACTGTCAGTCATATTAATATATGCAGCAAAATATAATCTATATAACAGATAGCTTACCTCCACAGCACTATGCATTTGTGCTATGTTTTGTGCCACTCCCTTCTCAAAAGTGTCATCTTTTTTCACTTCTGTGACACAGACAATTAAACCACCAGATCTTATTGTATAATCTATAGGACCATATGCCCGAGTTCCGTTAAGAAAGTCTTCAGCATGAAGTCGAAGATCTTTTTCCACAGTTTGAAAATGGCTGACGGCTGCTGTGAGAAAAGGAGATATAAATTCCCTGCAGGTCATTTCATTCTCCGCGATGTTTTGAAAAGCAATTATATTTTTCTTAAGTTCGTCAAGTAGTAAATTAATCTCTTTTTCTGACAAATTTTCTTGTGGAAGCCCGTCTTTGGAGAAACAGATAAAATTATCAATATTTTTATGCAAGGATGGTCCGTTTTAGTGAAGATACTTTACCGAATGACATAGGGGGTATATAGCTGTAAGATGGCCATTCAGCTTTTATAAGGTCCAAAATATCTCTCCATTGCCAGTCACTAAATGGTATTTTACCTAACAAATGAAAGAGAATAAATGACTCTGTACAATAGACTACTCTAATCAATCCACTAACCTCTTATATGGACAGAAAAACTGATTTCATTTTTTCCGTTTTCTTCAATATAAGTAAGAAGATCGAAATCACTGGTAATTTCGATCTTGTCATTCCCTCTACCACTTTCAGTGAGGTAGATCATGTTATCTTGAATTTCATTGGGCCACTTCGTAAAAATTGCATCATTCACAAGGCACCAAAGCCCGGTTGTGTGTGGAAAGTCTTTTTTGAACGAACTTCTTGACAGGTGGAAGCGAAAACGGAACTTGCGACCTGACAACGGGTAGCGAATGACGAGAGGTGTGCCACCAGTCGTGCTGAGACTCGAAAGTATAGTGTCTCGGCGAAGCTCTTGGTTGTCAAAAATGAATTTGAGCACCAGTGGGGAGGTGTTTTTGAGTACTTCCTTATACTTTTCACAGAGTTTGGGTGCGAGACGGTCCAAGTTGGAGCACGATAGCAACTCAGCAGGGAGCGCTGTAGCCTCTGTGCCTTCAATTTGTATCCACAGTGGTTGTTGTAAAGGCAGTTGCTGTGTAAACGTAGGTATAGACATAATACCTCAAGGGGTTTGTCTGATGGCTTTGTGCAACTTTTTTAAGTTTACCGTGCGAACCAAAAATGGATTTCAGCCAAGCCACGGACGCGTCAATGAAAAATGAATTTTTATACTGCAGATTAATAATAGTACGATTTATTATTATGATAATGAGTAATTTATTAATTATAACGGGTATCTGCTTGATTGTACTAAATTTAGTACAGCTATTAAAAAAATGAGTCACTGATAGACGTTCTTGTTATATTTTTTTATCAACTAACAACTATTAAATACTTTGTTCATGTGATGTGACTAAAAAGGAGGAATTTACATATTAATATATATGTTATTACGCCGTTCCATGGATGGGTGCGATAGTGACTATAGTCAAAATGTGCCTAAATAGGTGTAAATTTTTTATAAAAATGACTACATGGGGGTTGTGACTGTATCATACGACATTGTATCTTCCATATACATAATATACTTAACTCTAAAGTCTCAGCATTGACCGAACAACTATCAGTAAAATAATAAGTACCTAAATAAAGACCTCGAAACCTCAGTAAAATAATAAATAAAAAAGACAAGTCATTTTTCTCTGAGTGATCACAGGGATGTTTTGATAGGTGTTTAACTCTCGCGATTGAGATGTAGTCTTTAGTATAGGAAGAACGTTTCTGTCTATTACTTGCGATAAATGAAGCGGTTATTCGCCAGTGATTTTGGAATAAACTTATATCAACAATATTAAACGTAAGACTATGATACATTTATTTATTTATATTACTTAATTAACGATTTTTATTTATGAATACCTCACGTGACTATGAGTATGAGGGAATCCTATAGTCACCGATTTTAGCAAAACCGATGGCGTGACTATAGGATCTCCACAACTCAAAAAAAAGTTTTCAGGTATTCATATCATTGAAAAGGTGCTTACTAGAGCCGTTAATACACTGTTATACGGCGAATTTAATAATAATGTTTAAATAGCAATTTACGATTAATATTATTGACTGTCAGTACGTCAGATAATCACTTAAATGTATTACGCAAGACATGTAAATAGCTGACGTATACTTACAGGTACTGTAAATCAATATTTTAGCAATCAGTCAATGCTACAATAATCAACTTTACCTCCCGTCACATGGTAATTCTCGTCCACTGTTGTTCACTCATTCGCCGATCATTTTACAATAGTAAAGATGTATTAGTATAAACTTCAAAAACGCCAACTTAGACGATAGATCCTTTCACGCTTGGTTTACCAGAAAATGGTGTCCTTTTTTTCTTGGCTATAAAATAATTGGAAACTCTTCCTACAAAGAAGTTTTACTGATAATAATGTCAATAAAAACGAAAAAGTGGCACCCATTTTTTTACTGTTCAGAAGATCGAGTTTACGTAGTTTCAATTTGATGTTCTCTATCAGTCGGAGAGAAAATTTGAAGATATCGTATTTTGTTATTAGTCAAATGATCGGTAATTAAACCCCACCAAAAACTTACGCCGTGGTTCTCGCCTATTCATTTCCGGTTAACTCGATTTCACAAACAACCACTTAGAATACATACTAGCACGTACCATCCGATTTATCCTATATCTGACACACAACCTCCTCCTCAAAAAGACAACTAATTATAAACGAGCTCACAGCAGACACCATCTTCTCCTTAACAACAACAAAACCACAACACAAAATGAAATATCGACCCCCCCCATCAACAAGAGGCAAAAGAAAACAAATACAAGATCCCTCTGAACAAGGTACTGTACATCAATAAACAAAAGAATCACGAAAATATCAGACAAAACTTAACCTAAAACCATTTACCCCCTAAAACCCTACTACACAGAAAAATAACAACATGGTTCCTTCTTCCACCACCAGAAATTTAATAAGACTTTCGAGTAAAGCCAATTGTATTATGGAAGAACACAATAGTTTTCTTAAAATGGTAATTTTGTTGGGAGCTACATACAGTGATCAAGTTTTAAGTTTTAAGAATAAGCCTAGGAAGCCAATAGGTCGAAGATGTTTGTGGTAGAAGACGAGAGGGAATTTCGGAATAATAGATTTTTTAGGTAGCGTAATATGGATAGACTTATAAGATTTACTTTCCTAGAGATACTGAATACGGCTATTACTATTCTATATTAATATAATTAAATTAAAATAAAATTCTCATATTAGATAATGCTACCATACATCGATACAGTATACAGTTGAAGCTCGTTATAATAGAAAGTTGGGCATGGATCCATTATAGCGTAATAACGCGATTTTACTATAAGAATCCATTATAACAAACAATTTTTAATATAAGAAGATTGTGTTCCAAAAAAAATTCTTGCGATTCCATTGTAACGTGCATCTGTTATCGACTGTATACCATAAACCTGAATAACCGAAAAGCCACAAAGAAACGAAATTATGTAAACTGTGTCACAAATTGGCGAATCTAAACATTTTTTATTTGCTCAAACTGTCGGACTACCAAACATGAACGGAGCCGTCCTGGCATATTAATATGATTAACACGCTTGTGTGTAGCAATTTTATTTCCGTTTAAACTTGCGTCGTTAAGGCTATGCAGCAATATGAAAAGAGTGGCGATATATCTTTGAGGAATATAAGTGGATTGATGATTCACCACTTGCGTAATACCGTGGAATGACCTGAGGTTTTAGTTCTTACAGGAGTTTCAGAGACATTCTTCAAAATCGGAAAATTCGAGCAGGGTGGGATCCGCTTTTATCGCATCTCCAGGATTCTAGCTTATTGGAAAAAAACTGGTTTGGGTATAAAAACAATGTCAGGAAGCACGCATCATCCGGCTGGTGCTGAAATGCTTCGAATATTGCTACGTATCTTATTCAGGAACTCGTTACCAATTTCATAAACATTAGTCTCAAGATTTACTTTTAATAAATAATGGATCATATTTTCTTACAGTCAAATGATCTACCCCGGCAAAAGCAGCTAACAGTAAACATGCACAATTTTATTTCGGCATCTTGTTAACTTAAACATGCGTGGAAGCACATCGTGTAATTCGAACCTTTGAATAAAATTCGTATAACTGTAAATAAGCCGTTAAATTACAAGTTCATTCAAAAAAGAGTTTGAGTCTCTAAATTATAAGAAATGCACGGGTGTTAATATTGTAAATTGACTTTATTTGTACCAACGTATAACCATACTAATACCTGGAGCTGAATCCATATCATAGCTATTTCTTGGTTTAGGCAGATCTCCAGTAGGTAAGAGCTTACTAGAATACTTATTCTCCTTCTCAAAACGTGATAAGGGATTTACATCATTATGACAAACGGCATTCCACGTGTTGTTGTCAGACCTAGCCTCTCCATAAATAAGCTTGCTAATATCAATAAAAAGTCTTTCCGCATCTGGACGCTTATCAGGATCAGCATCACAACACCGCTCGGTAAGTTTCTTGTATTTCTCTGGTGCGGAATCAGGCATCGATGGTCGTAGTCCGCCCATAATGTTGCATACTAAATCTCTATCGAACTGCCTAT